TTTCACTGTAGACTCCCATGAATCATAGAACCTAACAATATTGGGATGCTGAAGCCCTTTCAGCATTCCAGCTTCCTCTTTAAATCTTTGACGCTCTGATTTGGACAGCTTCCGATCCTAATGAAAAAGAAAAGGTGCATCAGAAAGCTTTGCTTTATTTCTTACTCAGAGAAGAAGCAACTTGAACAGTTGGGTACAGTCAATGAACAAGTAAGAACTGGCAATCTTAAATACCATTTGGTTTGCAATTACCCTGAAATACACTCATTTAGAAGACATCCTATTACAGTCTTTGTCATATTTTTCCTTACAATCTGACTGCTCTCAGAGGTAAGAACTGCAAATCTGTGGATTATCCCCTCTTCCTGTTTCCTCTTCCCCTACTCTAATAAATCTGATCATTGCCTGAGTTGATGTGGAATGAGGACATAATGTCTTCAAATATTCAAGTGATCCAGAACAGACAAAATTGGACTATTTAAAGCATCTCTCTCATGTTGTACATAATAATGTTTAGTCATTCCTATGCGTATAATATCCAGACCACTGGTAACAGATGGGATTAACCTTCCATATAGAGGGTAGAGCACAAAACCTCTCTAACACATACTATGAACTTATAACTGCAGAAGAACAAGTGAGTAAGTTGGATTTTCTTTGATTAAAAGCAAGACCTCATGATTGAGCAAGTTTCCTGTAATCTAGCATCAAGGAAAACAAAACCATAACATACTAGAGACAGAAAGCAATCTTTTGGCCAGAGACAGACCACGAAAAAGCATTCCTAGACAATACTGTTTTATTATCTCCCAACAACTAGCTATCACATGGCATCAGGACTCTGAGCAGCTATTACCAGACTAAGCTGCACACCTCAAGAGAAAACAGTCTCCTAATGCCATTCACTTTTCTCAGCTTGCCAATGCACTGGCCACACCAGTCAGATTGACAGAATGACATAAACTGGATCTATATGCAGTTTGTCTTTAAAACCAAAACAAAAACACCCAAACACGTAACATTTCAGGATATAACTAAAGCCCAGAATTTTAGATTCATTGTTCCTAACAGTTATTTAGAAATAACCAGTGACCTCTTTGTCAAATCTGAGTAATATTTCTAAATCACTTAATTTCATATTTCTTTTTCAATTAAAGGAAGTAGTAAAACCATGCAGGGTTTACTTATACTGCTCACAACCTCCTACTATCCTCCAGGCAGTAATTTCTCTTCCTTTGTTTACTGGTAATGTGTTTTCCCTATACCATTCAGCCAATACCTAAACCATCCTATACTCACTTAGATCATTAACTTTTTCTCAGAGGTTCATAGAGTATCTTTCCATATGGACAAACTTCATTTCCAGATGAAGCTCCAATTTTCAGAAGTGTAAAAGCCTTCCAGGTGAAAGTTTGAGAACAGAGTTGAAACAGTCTCAGGAATCACTACCTTATCAGTGCCTACGAACGTCAGCCCCACACACACTGCTACAGTTCTTAGGAAGATGCTAAATTCTTCAGTCTTGCAAATTTAGTCTCTAGACATCAAAAGCACTCAATCCTGCAACTATTTCACTCTGCAGAAATTAGCACTACCACCTCTTCTCACTCCTTCATAAACATACTCGCACAAACAAATTTTGAGATAACGTTTGCAGAAACACTACACAAACATTTGAGTATCATGTCTGCCTAGCTGCTGGTTTGAGTTTTTTCAATACAGAAATAATGCTCCCATTTGCACTATCTAATAGCTTTCCTTTCATCACACTAAATAGGGCAGCACAACTTCTGTTCAAAACCAGTTCAACTTGACTCCTACGAGCAGCTGTAATACAGAAAAGCAGTGAGCTGCATAGGCACATCAGTCAACAGAGCATACACACGTTCTTAGAAACACTCCATGCTTCAAGCAATACAAAAATCACAGTAATGTAACTATTCTTACAGTAAAATAAAGCAGTCTTCTCAGCCTCTGCACCTGATCCACATAATCCACATATTAAAACTAGTTACATATGGTTATTATAAAAACATGGCTGCAGCAATTACTTTTATATCACCTTTAAATTTAGCCATGTAATATGAACAGCTGCATGCTTCTTTTGTCCAAAACCTACATTTTAGATACACATTTGGATTAAATTTCCTTTGTTTCATGCATAAGTTACCTACCACAAACACTACTAACTAGTTTTAGACTATACCTGACATTAATTTATCATCCTAATCTATGCAAACATAATCTCTCTTAAGGGCCTTACACCATTTTCCCTACCACTGTACTACTAACCCCAAATAGAATCTAACAAGTGCTAATCATTCTTATCAATGAGCAGACTCTTAACAGGCAGGCATATTTTGACTCATTTCCTTTTCTGGCCACATCAATGGTAGCATCATGTTCCTGCACACGTATCAGTGATGTTTAAAACAGACACTCAATATTTCAGTGCTGGCATTAGAGAAAAAAACAGAACACTAAGACAGTGACAATACACTGAGTAATTCAACACTTCTTTGAAAGTCACAGTGCCCTAATGATCTGGGACAAGCTTGGAGACAAACTTGGGCTAACAAATTTCACCTATGGAAGACAGCTACATTTTTGCAACCAAGGAAACATCACACCCTTCAGTGGCATACTGCAGAAAAGTTAACATCAAACAGAACTGTAAGGAAAAGGCAGAGAGGCCACTTGTTTCGTAAGACTAGCAACACATACTACCTTTAACTACCCTCATTTCCTTGGATATACAACCCATACACTCATATGTAACAGGGTGCGGTTTTTTCATATTCTTTCCCTAAAGGAACACAATGCTAGGTAACAGAAAAGGATTAATATGCTCTAAAAACACGTCACCCTAGCGTTCAGGAAAATATCACATCTCCCATACCATTATGCCAACAAAATTATCTGTATACACAATGACTGGTTATACAAACTACATTGTAATGCAACTTGTTAGGCTAACATGCCATTTAAAAACCACAAGTACACTTTCAAAACCTGAATATTCTGTGCACTAGAACCTTAAAACATACCCGACAGTAGCATCTGCCAGACTGCATAGAGATGGACTAGATCAAAGCCCATCCCAAGTAACTACATTTTGGCATCTTCTGAGCTTTTAGCATGGGCAAAAACTTTATGCTCTTTCTTGCAAAAAGGTGCAATCTAAGCAAGTATTGAGATAAGCAAGGAAATAAAGCGCTATATGTAATTTGAGAGTCTGAGAAATGGTGCTACCAGCCACATGAGGTATGAATACTTGAGGAAAGGCAGAGGAATTAAAACATCTTGGAATCACATGAAATTCACATATGAAATTGCTGTATAGCAGAGCTGTGGCAGATAGAGAACAGCCATCCCACTTAATGAGAATTTAAAAGAGCATTTTCCAAGAATTTGGGAAGGGGACAGCTTTCACAATCTTCAGTTTTAAGTGCGTATTCCAAGAGAATCAAAAGCCCAGCTGCGTCCTTCCAACAAGGCAGCCACCTGGGGCAATACTCAGATTCCAGTGGGGCCTTCAAGCAGGAGCCTGCAGGAATGCAAGACCCTCAACTCTATTTCCACCTCTACAGAGGTAGCAAAAAGTTTATGACATCATTCCAAATAATTCTCCATTTGATTATCTCAAGAATTAATCAAACAGATCTATCCCCTGCAGCCTTCCTCCTGTAACTCACAGTCTAAATAGTTACGCAGATGGGTCATTTCAGCATGTTATTCGCTGGTTTCATCTGGAAGCAAAAAGGGAAGTTTCACAACATTCCTGTATCACAAAGTACAAGACTGGATAAATAAATTTAATGTTTCCTTTTATTTTTATTTAAAAAATCAAACAGGCCAGAATTGAGCAAAATAGAAAGACACCTAAGATGCTTTTCCATAAGCCTGGCAAACCTTAACAATTTTATAAAGAAACCACCATTTTAAGAACAGTTAATAATATACAGCTTGATATCCTATCCTTCAAAGACCAATTTGTCTTGGAACTCCTACTAATAAAATCAAAAAATGGACACCCTCTCTCCTCCCCCAGGCTTTACCATAGTGAAGCAGCTTTAGGCAGACAAGATGAAGTCCTAATTCTGGAAGTTAGCAAATCACATTCTTGTACCTCAGTTACCACAAGCTGAGCAGATATAGCCCAAATATTTAAAAATATACAAAGCTGTCAAACTGTAGGAGAGCTTGCTTCCTAAAATGGATTTAACTATCCTATAAAACGGCCAGCATTGCTGTTCCTGAACTGAGAGCTTCCCTGGAGGACTTAAGTGTCACATCCTAATCACTGGGCTGCCCTTCGAACAAACTGAAACAGATGCATCAAGCCCACTCTGTTCATTTCATTCATTCCTTTCCACCTACATTAAATTGTTTTGACAAGCCAGGACAAACAGCAAGGCTTCCCAGCACGTGACTCACGGTTCTGCAGTGCCAGGGGTCTGAATGGAGACAGGCAGCAAGTGAAGCAATTGTTCAGCTCAGAACAATTCAATAAGCTTTTCTTGGCTTTTTCAATTTATCTGTGCACTTCCCTTCTGATTTTTTTTTTTTTTTGGTCAGGAAAGAGCTATCAGAGGTGTTTACATTACACAAAGTAAAACAGGGATCTTGGTCATTCATGACCACAGTCATTACTTTTTCACTAATGAACTTACATACAGAACCATTATTACCCTCTTTCTATCCCTATACATAGGTGCCTTGCATAAATGCAAGAAGAACCCTAACTCAAAACGACTCCTTGCCCCTAAGATTAGTTACTGTATCAAGCCACAAAAAAACAAAGCTCATCAGCAAAAAATGCCTATATTCCCTTGGCAGGTTTTTTCAGCCAAGGCTTAATGTCTATTCAGCATCCTTAATGAGGAAAGAAAATACATTTCTGGCACCTAAATTAATCTTAAATTTCAACTTGGTTACTCACATAGCTGTTAAGTCTATCAAGTAATGTCTCATTTCTTTTCCTTTCTAACTTTCTACAGTGCTTCAGAGTCCTGTCCTATTAACATTGTGACAAGAAATCCTGCATCTGCAAAGCACATCACAGTACCGCAAGTGGTTGCAGAGCCTAACTCAGACACCAGAAACGGCAGGAGAGCCATGTTAGCAAGGCATCAGGCTCTGCTCTAGCCATTCAAGTCTGCTCTTCATTCAGACCAAGCTCAGCCAAGTCTCTCACCTCTGCTACCCATTTTTACTAACTGACACCAAGTGGCCTGAGCTAAATTCTAGGACAATTCAACAGGCATTAAATGGACAGAGTTACACAGAAAAGACACACTGCATTTCATTCTCAAATACCTGCTACAGCATGCCAAGCTAGTGGGCAACAAAAGAAACACTCTACATGGAAGGAACTAGATCTGCTAACTCATGTTATATATCCTCAAAAGGTTATTTTCTGTTTCCTGATATCAAGCACAATTAACATAGACAAGGTGCCAGAGAATCCTTATGCACAACATAACAATCCTGACTCTACCTATAGTTTCCAACTCCTACAAGCAGGCAGACTCACAGGTGACAGAGGTCAACTTTAAACTGGATATTTAAAGAAAAAGAAGGCATGAGCTGCTATTCAACTTAGGGAGCTGTTTCCTCTTCCACACTATTAGGAAGATAATAAAGCGGAAACTGAGAAAGACTGGACACTTTACATACTACAGATAGGTTTTACGAGCTTTCTGCACATCCTACAGCTAGATTCAGAAATTCTACATCGCTAATGTTACAGGGACATTTAGTTAGCGGGTTGTTGGTTTGAGTTTTTTAAACTACAGTAGAGCAACACTACGTAGCTTTTATCCAGAGATGCACTAGAAATCACAACAGAAAAATCAGTAGCAATGAACTGTCTTCAGGTGATGTGATCTGAAAGCATACAGCCATGACAGACTTCAAAGTGCTGTTGAATTATAGACAGTCTGAATCACAACCGTGGTAAATTATCTGGGCTGAGGTTATAGCAAGCAGCATTTCATCAAGCTTTTCAAATGCCTGAAAATTTGAGGGGAAGACACTGCTGCTCCCAGTCTATTATTCAGAGGAAGAAGTAGTATGCAGAACGGACAAATGTTCTTCTGTGTGCATTTCTGCAGCATATGAGAAAGGCTTTGCAAGCCTTTTAGGCAAGGTTAATGAGGGGTCATCAGAGGAGAAGCTAGCAAGACTGCACTCTGATATTCAGCACTGTTAATGGAACTGAGGCTTTGTGGGCTGCAGTGTTCTCATCCTGAAAAAATTTAGCAGTTTAGAGGAAAAAAAAAAAAAGAGCACAGTGACCATTGAGCTAGATTAACAAAATATCATCAAAGAATCCACAGAGCTTAAGAATCATCCAACATTACATAGTTAGTACCTAGAAATGGAAGTCTCAGTGAGTAAGACCCACATCTACTTCTGCGTCAACACAAACCTCTTCAGACTTCCCAGTATCAGTGTTAAAGACTAGCAGAGAGAAAAAAGGAAGTGAGGGGGAAGTGACTGTTCAAAACACATCCCTGTACAGCCACAGAAATTGAAACTGATCAAGGATCTACACAGACCCCTCCACCAGTATACTTTTCTACACGGCACTGAACACAAAAAAATGATTAAATGGAGCTGAACAGCTGTTGTTCCAGAAGTAAGCATGTAGGCTACACAACCCCAGTTTCCCCAGCCACTCCTTGTAAGAATTGAGCTCTAGACCCTTCACCAGCTTCGTTACTCTTCTTTGGACATGCTCTAGCAATTCAATGTCTTTCATGCAGTGAGAGACCCAAAACTTTTCAGCCCCTTTTCTCCTCTTAAATTAAAGATGGAAGACAACGTTCCTGAGGATGGCTAGTGGAATGAAGTGCAATGCCAAGTTAACACTTACCTACTGAAAGTAAAATTTCACATAGCTGCTTGGCAAGTCTCCACAACAAGAATCAATTTTATATAAGCTATAGACAGCCTTTGTGGAGTATGAAAACAACCTTAAGAACGAGAACACTCAAGTATAATATACACATCTAACACAATAGAAAAGATTAGGCTTAAAACAGTTGTGTATTACACTTTTTAAAGTTCCTAATTCAGGGGGGAAATTCTTTTGCAGGATTCCTCTTACACAAGCTATTAAAAATGCTTTAAGTTTCAGTAGTACACAAGTAGTCAACCTAAATGAAAGGCTGGAGGATTATTCACATTAGCTATACTGCTTCCTGGTGTACATCCTCTATTTTCATTTCTGGCATTTCAATACAAAACAATAGTAGCACTGCACAAAATTTGTCAGAAGATGCAGTTAGTTCCTTAAAAACACACCAAAAATTTAAATTGTTTCTTGTCCTTTCTCTTACCATAGATACAGTGAACCATAAATCATAGCATGGCTTGGGTTGGAAGGGACCTTAAAGATCATCTAGTCCCAACCCCCCTGCCAAGGGCAGGGACACCTTCCACTAGACCAGGTTGCTCAAAGCCTTGTCCAACCTGGCCTTGATGCCAGCACCTCACAGGATCAAATGCATGCAAGTTCATTGTTGCTGCCCAAATATAAGAATTAAGGAAACAACAAAGAAATGAAACTCTTAATGATTAGACAGAAGAAGAATAGACAGAAGCCTTCATCAGTCAGTTTAGTCTAGAGAAGTCAACTACATATATCCTGAAAGAATCAATACTTAAGTAATCTTCAGAAAATAAGAAATACAACTTTGTATTAACACTGATGAGGGAGTATCTGCAACTAAAAGCCTATGCATGTGACAGAGATACCAGCACCACTCCCCATTTTATCCTGCCACTGTTAGTCTGTTTGGATAAAGCTATGATTCATCGCCACAGGAGAAGCGGGAGAACACCATCAGTAATTACACCTCTCTAATATGGTTGCTTTAGACTTTTACATAAGCAGCAGCACCTCTGCCAGCAATAGCAGTAGCAGCATCTAAGACACCTGGTGGCAGCAATGTTATAGACTTAACCTATGCTTGAAGACACACCCTCAGCAAGTCTGATAACAGAAATGTCATCAAAACTGAAGTCTGTGCTTCCTTGCACCAAGTTCTAGCATCATTAAACACAAGAACTGTAACTAGTCACAATCACATGATCCTTCTAGGTCTTCAGCTAGAGAAAAAGTTGGCCAAATCCTCAAGTTTCCAGGATCCCGTAATTCACAAGAACATTCAGAAGAAGACACAGCTAATACTGTTATTGCAGTACAGGAAGCAGGCAGCAAGGAATAACTACAACATGTAAAACCAAACATGCTTTTTAAAAAAAAAAAAAAAAACAAAAAAACAAAGGGGGGAGAGGTTAGGAACACACTTAAACTCACTAACTTGGTGAGATACAAAGTCATTCTGCCTCACTTCCTCACATGGAACGAATGGCAGAAGTGGGATCAGAAGTGTAAGAAGCACGCAAATACGACATGCAACACAAATACAGCAGCAGAAAACCATTTCTGTTTCTCTGCAGGACAACAGTAGATCAGTACACTTCCTCTTTACATAAGGAAGAAGACATCTTAAAGTAGGACTCCCAGTAACAAAGTTGATTTTTTGTTACAGTAGCATTGTGAGAATTTTTTGCTTCCAGCAATGACAAAAAATTGCTACTTTGGTGTAGCACTGCTACACCAGTGGGCTTCAAAACCATGTGCAATACTAGATGGAAGGCTCATGTCCCATGCTCACCAGAGACAGACAGATGCAAGCATATTGCTTAGAGACTGGGCAGTCAGCTCTACCTCAAGTTCCTCCTAAGGAGATAATGACAGAGAAGAGGAGCTATACAAGTCCAAAAGGGCTATGCCAGCCAGAAGCCTGGCTGGCAGGCTGCTGAAGAATTCAGTCAGTGAAGATTACCACTGAAGCTGTGCGCAGCATGAATATGGTGTACCTGGCAGTAAAACACCTTGCTTTCCTGAGGAAAATTAAACATAAATCCAACTGTACCACCTATAAATCTCTACCAGATTACCAGCTTGTTTTCCAGAGCTGTGTTGTGTGTGAATACACACACTGATACAAGTCCATATTACTCTCCCCACTGTCTCACATCAGCACAAACGTTCATACAAAAGTTGACCAAACTGCAGAAATAAACCAAATTCATCTGCTTCTGCAGAAAACAATGACCAAGACTAATCAGTACATTGCCTAATCTCACCATTTCCTTTGAGAAACTTGCACTCATCAGAATAATGCCATGAAAAGTTCATAGCAGCTTCAGAGTAAACTAAGAACTATATACACACTTTATGAAATCAATTACAGATTTTCCTTTGCTCTCCACACAACCAATAAGAGAAGAATTTTAAACAGTAGATATGAAACCTATAGCTTAGACATGACCTCTTCTGGAATCTCTCAGGTCCTCAGGAATCTGAACTAAGAATGGCAAGCAACTGTTTAGGCTTCAGTCATTTCTATTCTAGGGTTGCTCTAGGCAGCATCTGTGTTTCCTTACGCAGCCTGGAAAAGAAGATGGCTAAAAGTTTTATTCAATTTATTTATTCTGAGAGGTTGAACATAAGGGATCAATCAAACTGGTAATCAAACTGGTGGGCTATAGAAAAATAATCAGCATTAGAACAGAGAGCTCATCTACTTATTTTCACTTTAAAATTGCTATTTGATCCATGGAAGATAAATGGATATGTTTGCTATCTGTACCAGTTCACAAAAGGCTTATGCTTATTACATACAGCTTATTAAAGAATTGAAGTGTTAGCTGAACTGAATTCTTGATGAGCTATTAACCAGCTGGACCACCTTGTCACTTGGCTCAGATGCCTCATTAAAAGTTTTGAAGCTCACGTCAACTCTCATTTTGCACTGAAATGATTGCTTTGTCAGTGAGAGCAAAGGTACATCCAATCATCTCACTTTAATTTTACTACGAAAATCCAATTCTCCATTCAGCGGATGACAGTATTCCAGGAAAAAGCCTCCTCCACAATCTATTCTGGTTACTTTACAGATTTATTGACTCATTGCATCAAAAGACAAACTGCTGCAGCTCTTTATTTCACATACTTCTGCATGACTGTAAGAGTCCTTTTATGAAAAGCTACATGTCCAGAACAGGGTGAACCCTTAACAGACTCTGATAAAGGCGTATCAATTTAGAGAATCAAAACCATGCTACAACACTTCAGCCTATATATGTCACAAAGCTATTAGCAAAAGGTAAGAATTAACCCTTTGATGAGAAGTTGCATTAATATGCTGGCTGGAAATCCATGCAGATGTATCAAGATGACTCCAAAGATTTACTAATATCAATCAAAGTAGAATATACACAAGAACTAGTAATGTTCCTGTGCCTCTCACAAGTTTCCTTGCAAAAATATCAGCATAAAGCCTAGAGGCAATAATCTTGAATGGTCTATGCTATTATTTAAGAAGCAGTCCCTGCAAGGCCACCCCCTGCACTCTTCCAGTTGTAAAATGAGCTCACACCAGCCTGTAGTGCATGCTAGCTTCAAGTTTACACACAAAATTGGTACATATATTGCGCATGCAGTTACTCTTCCCAGCTTTGCTTCTTTCTCTGCAAACACATCCAAAAAAAAGTACTTCATTTAATTTACAGAGTTGTGGATTACTATCAGTTATGACAGGATGACATGTGAAGTGTAGGCCAACTACCGGCAGCCAACAGAAAATCCTCAAAGTAATCGCTAGAGAACTCCAAGCCAACCATCTCTTATTCAGAGATGCATCTCTCATTCAGAGATCCTTCAGGGATTCATCATAAACTCCTCAAATAATTACCAGGTGTTCTGCACATTTTTTGCAAGAAACACGAAACAAAAAAGGGATCTCCTCTTTGGAAAGACTGAAGAGTTCCAGAAACTATGAGTTTTACGGGGGGACCAAAATTTGCATTTTAGATGAAGTCTCACTAATACATTGCATAAATACTAGTATTAGTACGAGCATTTCCAAACATGAAAGTCTTAAAACGCACTGGAGGCGCACTTGGGTATTTTTAAGACTCACTTGATCAATAATGCAGTCTTCCTACAACCTACCAGAATGACCGTCTTCATCTCAGGCTTCTCATAAAGGGAAGCAGTAATAATTTTTCTATGCTTACCTCATAGGTTGCCTTATGAAATCATTCTTGCACCACTAGTATGTTTATTGCAGACTTTCACAATGATACATACCATAGACATCAGAGACACTTATGTTTACAATGCACCATGTACATATTCCTTGACAAATACCACATAAGATGTAGAAAATCTACTCACAGTCAAATATCTCAGACAGTATCAAAGGTACCACTAATATGTAAATTTAGGAATACGCACATTATCTTTTACAGAGCAATGAAATAGAGCACAGGGAGTCAGGAGAAAGAAAACATTCAAATACTTAAGACTAGGCCAGTGGTAGAAGGACAACTAAACACTGTCATCACAAAGCATCCTCTGCATCCAGATGCATAATTGGCTTTACAGTTCAACCCTGAATCACTTTAGAATTAGTGAAAATATAAGAGAAAACATAGTGTAATTGAAATGCAGACTGAGAGACCAGTTTGCTGCTATCACCTAAAGCAACAAAGGATACAACACCTAAAAACAGCAAGTGATTTGCTGTACAGTAAATCAAGGTAAAAATATGAACACCTCAGTCATAGAAGGACTATCTTCATAGAAGTTGTAGCAAGAAAAAATAAAAGGGTGGGGAATGAACCACAAAAACCCACACCCACACTTAAGCATTTGTCCTGCAAGAAAAGGCTTCAACATCCTTTGACAACTAAAACTCAGTGTTGTAACACAATCAAGATGAAGAGGGTAATCTCGAAGGTGATTCAAAGCTGACAGGGAAAAGTGCTAGAGGAAGCTTAAGATGAATATTCAGGATTTTTTTTTTTTTGTGGAATTTGGGAACTACATATGGTAGTACTGCCATTGGCAAGGCTATTCTGTATTTAACAAAAGTGTTTTTTTCTCTGAAGAACACTACTGAGATTACCCTGCACTGCCAGAAGACCAAACGTGACCTAGAAAATGCCAGATATTCACCACAACCTATCTATGAATCAGCCATTCAAACTGATACAAGCTTATCCAAAAAATCTGTTTCTCACTACAGTGTGCTTTAGTCACATACTGCCTGTCCTTGGTCTGATGCCACTTTACTTGTTTGAACAGAATACTGAAGGAATTTCTTGAAGATAAACTGTAATAACTGAAGATGTCATGGTCCAGAGGGCCTACCTTAAATGGGTCATGACAATTTGTAAGCACACTTTCTTGTTTTCAATTTACCTCCTACTTTGTCACACTGAAGACCTTTACTTGC